TATCTAAGAAATGCCTTTGGTTTGTCTGTTAGGTAGAGTCAAACACCAATGTTTGTTTGTTCCTTCATTAGCCACTGTACAGAACCAAACTGCTTCAGTGATTATGTATGTACGTAAAGATTTTTAATGAATAAAGTATATTTCTGAAATAAAAAGAAAAATATTTGATGATTCATGATGAGGACATCTTGAATGCAACCTTCAAAGGTTTTAACGTGATAACTCTTGGGTACCATGAATCACAATCTTTAAAAGACCTGGACTGACTGCGTAAAGTTTCTGAGGTCTCGGATGTGCCTCTCTCCACAATGGAAGAAGCCAGCCTGCACCCAGAAAAGGCACTGCTGAAAACCGGGTATCCTGGAATTAGAACGTGCCCACCATTGTTAAAGGGCTCACTAGCTGTCCTGACTGAGCACAAATGTAGATCATTGAGCACAGCAGTGTGGGCTTGTGCCAATGTTCAGTCTTTGAACTGGCTCTGCTGCCAAGGAAACTGCCTGGCGACACAGAATGAGCACATTTTCGGAGGATAGATCAGTTGGACAGTTTTAGATTACAAGCGAAAACAGAAATTGCTGGAAAAGCTCAGCAGGTCTGGCAGCATCTGAGGACAGAAATCAGAGTTAACGTTTCGGGTCCAGTGACCTTTCCTCAGTACTCACTGTTTTGAAGCAGAGCAGCAGCATAGGTGTGAAGGAGAGGCTCCAAGATTCTTAGTCAAACAGCATTCATGATGGATGAGAGAAGAAAGGATGAAACCATACTGCATCAACGTAAGAATGAATTTGCATTTCCCTAGCACCTTTCAGGATTTTAGGCCATGTGAATTATTTTTTTACTCACCCACTTCATGAAATGTGGCCACTGTAACTGAGGAAACTGAGCAAAGTCCCATACATCGAAGCGTGACTATTAGGTGAGATGTCATGGTGATCTCCCTCAGCTTCAAAATGGAGCAATGAGATCTTCATGTCTTCCTGAGAGGCCAGATTGGGGGCTGAGGGGTGTGTGTGTGGCGGGGTGGTGTCCTCAGGTTAACGTTTCATTGCAAGATGGCTTTCAGTGCAGCAATCTCTCAGAACTGCACTGGAAGTGCCAGCTTAGTTCATAAGCTCCTGCTCTGAAATGGGATTTGAACCTACAACCTTTGATTTGGAGGTGAGACTGTTAATGCTGATGGTGCAGTTTATTCAAGCCATTGTCTTAAAATCCATAATCAATTTGGGCAGCACAGTGGCTCCATGGTTAGCCCTGCTGTCTGATCAGGGACCTGAGTTCAATTCCACTCTCGGGGGACTGTCTGTGTGGAGTTTGCACATTCTCCCCATGTCTGCGTGGGTTTCCTCCGGGTGCTCCGGTTTCTTCTCACAGTCCAAAAATGTGCAGGTTAGGTGGATTGGCCATGTCAAATTGCTTATAGTTTCCAGGGGTGCACTGGCTAGATGGGATTAGCCATGGGAAATGCAGGGTTACAGGGTGGGGTTAGATGGGATGTTCTTCAGAGGGTCAAGTATGTATTTGCTGTGCCGAATAGCTCCACAATGTCGGGATTTTATAAAAAAGAACTTGCTTTGCATTATTGCATCATTTAGAAATGAAATTCCTGTAAAAAATGTTTTATTAAAAAATGATTTAAACCAACAATGAATGCTGATACAACATCCTAAACTTTGTTTCGCTCATAATATTGTTTATGTATAAGCTGCAGGCATCTGAATTATAAAGCGCACTGAGATAGGACCTCAGCGAGTATGTACAAAATATTTGGTGACACTAATTTTTCAAAATTATTTAATTTCTTTGTTACTTTACCTTCCTGTGGCTGTAAACAAATTGGAATGATTCTTTGACTGTTGGAGAACTCTGCATCTTGTAAATGAAAATGCCTTTGTCCAGGAACTTCAGGTTTTCACTGTGTGTTCTGCAGTGTTATACTCTAACATCATTAACACTGTGATTCCTCTTTTGCAGGTAAACCCATGATGATTGTAATTGAGTACATGGGAAATGCAGTGTTAGACTCCTTCTTGAGGGTAAGGCGTCTGATTTATTTGACCTGTTTTTAAGCCAAATAGCTTCTAAAAATGGATTGCTGTGAAAATGGAATACTCTTCACTTTGTTGGATTCCCTGCAGCTCCAACAATACTCAAGTATCTTGATACCATCACTTCTTGATTGGCACCACATCCACCATCTTCAACACTCATTCCCTTCATCACCCCCCACAGTGGCAGCAGTGTGTGCCATCTACAAGAAGCACTGCAGCAACTTGCCCAGATTCCTCTGACAGCACCTTCCAAACCCACAAACACCTGGAAGCATAAGGGCAACTGAAGCATGGGAACATCTCTACCTGCAAGTTCCCCTCCAAGCCATATGCCATACTGATGTGGAATGATAACGCCCTTCCTTCACTGTTGCTGAATCTAAACCCTGGAACTCCTTCCTAATAGCACTGTGGGTGTCCCTTACCCCAAGTGGTTCAAGACGGCAGCTATTCACTACCCTCACAAGGGCAATTAGGGTTGTGCAATAAAAGCTGGCTAATGCTCACATCTCACAAATTTAACACGTTGTTTATTTTAGAAAAGAAAAGGATTACATTTTTATCCAAGCAGCAATTCACAGCATCATGTGTTAATGAGACACAAAGTGATCTCTCACAGTCTGGAGTTTCCCATCTTAGTAGAAGAAATATCAAGTGATACTCTGGCTAGAATGAGTGAAGAAGCAGAAAGGAGACTTCTTGGCTTAGCTCAACTCCCTTCTGATATGTAGCTAAGAGAACCATGAGCATTTGACATAGTGTGTTGAATGACTACTGATTTCTGTTTCTAAATACCGTTTCCTCTGTTGTGCAGGCCAGCAGAGCCACATTGCAGCAAACGGACTGTGTTCCAGCAGAAGAGGAGTCCATTGACTCATGAAGGCCAAGACAGCTCTGTCCAGGGCAATTCAGCTGGTCCCACTCCCCCTCCTTTCCTTTTAACCCTGCAAATTTTTAATCTTCGGTCACTTATCTAACTTTCCTCCGCAAAACACAATTGAGTCTATCTCCACACCCCTCTCAGGCAGTGCATTCCATATATGATCATTCTCATGTGCCCTCATCTTAATTTTTTTCCTCCAGTTCTGAACGTTTCATGATTTTGAACAATTCTATCTCTGAACAATCTCTTGACAACCTTCTCTTCTCAAAGGAAAACAGTCTAGCTTCTCTAACTAACTCATGACTGAATTCTCTCATCCTTGGAACCATTCTTATTAATCTTTTGTACACTTTGTCCAAAGCTTTTACATTTTCCATGTTACCCAGAGTTGGACCTGCTGCTCTGAATGAGGTGGACCTTATATCTTACAACAATTCAATATGAATTCTTTATTGTTCTTGGAGGTTAATTCGCTCAGTTGACTGGATGGCTGCTGAGTGATGCCAACAGCGTGGGTTCAGTTCCTGTCCTGTCTGAGGTTACCATGAAGGACTGTCATTCTTAACCTCTTCCCTTGTCTGAGGCATGATGACCACTGGTTATCCCTCTGGAATGAGATACTACCCCTATCACAACTTGACCTTATTTTTATACTCCATTCCCTGATTTATAAAACCTGGGGTCTTGCCTTCCTTTCTGATGACTTTTTCCAACTGACCAACCACTGTCAATGGTTAGTTCACATACACCCAATAAGACCATAAAATTTAGGAACAGCAGGAGGCCATTCAGCCCCTCAACCTTGCCCTACCACTCAATAGGATCATGCTGATCTGACATTCTTCATGTCTGCCCTAGGTGTCTCTGTTCCTGCACCTCCTTTAGAAGCGCAGAATTAAGTAATGTTACTTCTGATTTTTCAGACACATACCTGTCTTTACACCTACCTGCTTTAAATTTCATCTGCCACGTACCCGCCATTCCACCAGGCTGTCTATATGTTCCTGCTCTATCACAGCCCTTCTCACGGTTCAAGTGCTTTCAGGTTCTGTGTCACCTGCACATTTTAAAACTGTGCCCTCTAGACCCATGTCTGATTTATAAATTTGTAGGAAGAGGAAGTAGGAATCCAGTGCTGCACAGTCCTGGGAACCCCAGTGTGTACCTACCTGTTGTCCAAAACAAATTACTAATCTTGTCTTTTTCCTGTCACTCTGTTTACTTTATATCTGCGCCCTGACTGTTCTCTTTATTCCCTGGACTTCAGCTTTTCTGATCAGTCTATCATGTAGCGCTTTCTCAAATACCTTTACAAAGTCCATCTACACTGCTGCATTGCTGCCTTTGAGCCTTTCTATAATCCCATCAAAAAAAACTCAAGTTAGTTAGATTAACACAATTTGCCTTTGAGTCAGGTGACTCTCTGTAATTAGTCTATAATTGTTCAAGCCGTTGTTCGTTTTGTCCCAGATTACTATCTCAAAAAACTTTCTCACCACCCAGGTTAAACTGACGGAACCATAGCTGCTGCGTTTTTCCCTAATACTCTTTTGAAGACGTATGTTAACAATTAAAAATAAGACAAACTATTGGATAAAACTTCCTTGACTTTACAATATGTAGTTTCACAAGACAAGCAAGTAGAATACATATATTCTTTAAAGGGATTCAAAAGTAAATCTGTTAAGCTGTCATAAGAATATAAGGAAGCAAATAACTTGTCTTTATATTATACCCTTCAGTTGCCACAGATCATCACAAAGTACTTTACAACCAATGAACTACTCTGAACAGTACTAGTGTGGCATGATGGCTCAGTGGTTAGCAGTGCTGCCTCACAGTGCCAGGAGCCTGCATTCAGTTCCAGCCTTGGATGACTGTCTGTGTAGAGTTTGCACATTCTCCCCGTGTCTGTGTGGGTTTCCTCCCGCAGCCCAAAGATGTATGGGTTAGGTCATGGTAAATGCAGGTTTATAGGGTACAGGGGGTGGGTCTGGGAGGATTAGTTTGAAGTGACCTGCTCCCATACTGTAGGGATGCTATGAATCAATGTATTCACAGAAAGATTTCACAAGTAGCAATTGAATTAATGACCAGGTGATCAATTTGATGTTTTCAAGAGTTGGTCAGGGCTCTGTGAACACCCTCTGATCTTTGACAGATACCAGTTGAACCAGCAGACAGGTTTCAGTTTAGCATTTGACTTGAAAGAGCAGAATGATGCACATTTTTAGTGGTCTTTAATTGCATTTACTTACCCTCAACATTTGAAGGATCATTTTTGATAAAGAACTTGCATTGAGTGCTGACACCAGTTGGTCGTCTCACCTTCTTCCATTGCTACACAGCTTCATCTTCTTTACTTTTAACGTGGTGGTATTCAGTGTTCACTTTATCAGAAACATTTTAGACAGTATTGCTCAGGAATAACTATGTTAAAGCCTTTCTTAAGTAATGCCTAAGCTTCTCTGCTTCATAATTATTTCTTCAGTTTCATATGATTTCATTTTCACTTTGGGGAGTCTCTGTTTTTGGGGAATTGTCATTCATTTACCAAATGGGCTGGAGATCTTCCGCACCCACAGTTGCTAATGGAATATTTCAGTGAAATGTTTCACCAGTGGCTGGAATATAAAGGGAAGTGATGTGTCAGTTGTTTTGAGCTGTGTTCAGCTGTGGGCACCGGATCTGAAGAAGGGGATAGTGGTTTTGGACAATGTGCTGCGCAGATTGTTTAGAATGATAACAGGATTTTAAGGGTTAAGTTATGAATGCACCTTGCTTAAGTACACAGTTCCTTCAAATATACAAGATTCTAGAGAGATTTGGTTGAGTTATGTTAAATGTTACCAGAGGGCTTGTTAGGCAAACTATTGAGAAACAGATTCTCCTTGGCAGGGGAATGGGAAATGAAGGGAAATTATCTCAAAATTATACCTGGCCACTTAGGAATGCAATCAGAAAGTACTTTTTCACATGAAACGGAGCTGATGCCTAGACTCTCGTCCCCAGATCAGTTCTGAACTGCAACATTTTTGTTTGTACTTTACACGAGGAGCCAGCATATTATTTAACAGTAAATGCAGATTTATCTTCTACCATGTCACCATGATGAGGTTACTCTGTCTTGATTTACACATGATTTTCTTTCTCTTACAGTCCTGTTCTTGCTGTGCTAGTCTTTCCATCACTCCTTGCAGTATCATATACTGTTGTTCTTGAGCATAGAGTAGCTGCAAAATGTAGGAAAATAGATGGGTTATCCTCTGATAATTTTCTTTTTTTTTTCTGTGTATGTTCACTCAACTTTGCTCATTTGCTTTGGCCCATGGTTAGAGCTGTAGAAGGATTACCTTCCAAGATTTATCTCTGCAGAGAATGTACAAGCAACATTTAAATATCCATTCTTCTCTCTTATGTAAACATTTTAAGGGGCTAAGGTTACCTGGGATAAGCTATTTTCTTTGGTTGGAGAGTCAAGGATTAAGATATAGAGCTGAGCCTTTCAGGAGTGAAGTTGGGAAACACTGCAACAATCAAAAGATGGTTAATGTTTGAACTCTCTGTTCTACAATCATGTTAATTGCTCAACATCATTTTGAATCTGAGATTGATAAATTCTTGTTCTCCATTTCTCCGTTCTGGTGGCTCAGGTATATATTTAAGGTTCCCTGACAATAATAAGGAAAGAGCAGAAACGCTGTTTTTATCCACAACCACATTAGCCACTAAAATTAGTTTGAGTGGCCGTTCAGCTCACTGTAATTTTTGTTATTTGGTCTTGGGACATGAGCGTTTTTAAAAGCAATTTATGATCTACCCTTCGTTGCTGTATAGAGGGTTTTCTCCCTGAACCACTGTGGATTTGGTGTCAAGGTGCTGCCAAGATGTTAAGAATTCCAAGAGTTTGAGCCAGCAGTTATAAAAAACCATTGACATACGTCCAAGACAATGAGCTGTGTCACTTAAAGGGAAATGTGGGGGGAAGGTTGTTTGTGAACCTTGCTGTGTGTTAAATAACTGCCCAGAAATGGCTGAAATTAAGTCTTTATACGTGAAATGCTTCACTGTGGATTCAATAACAAGCTATGTCAATAAAAATTTATATATTTTTCCATTTTTGCAGATGGAAGTTTATACCAGAATTTATGGAGAGAATCAAATCTCTCTCGTAAGACAGTATAGTCAAAGCTTTACTAGAAGCATCACCCGACTGTTACAATAGCTTCCCTTCTCAAAACCTTCTGTGCAAAAAACAGGAATAGAAAAAGCAGGACAAGCACAGAAATTACTGTTATTATCCAAACAAGTGTGATCGTTAGACAGGACAATGACAATCTGGTATGAGTTATTCTCAGAAAGCAACTCAATTGGCAACCCGCATTTTATTTGAAAGCTTCAGCAACACATCTATCACTATAAAGGCCTCTGCTGTATGTTTAGTTTGTGAAAGGCAAAAATAATTGTTCATAGTCCACAAAGGACTATAGACATATCTGTCCATTAGAGAGAGAGAGAGAGTGAGAGTCAGTTATATGTAACTTGAAGGCTAAACCTCACACAGTGGTCTTGTCATTCTAAGGAGCAATTTCAGAATTTCTGATTGTCAACAGTAAGGAGGTGGATTAAAATCCTCCCTCTAATCTCAGGGTTCATTCAGTTCTATATCTGGGAGAGATGGGCAGGCTCCGTTCTCCACATGGGGATCTTTGTTGATCTTTTGACTGGATCAAAATACCTCAGCCAAGAACTTAGACAGTTGTTGCAGTAAGATAGCCTGAGATGTGCATTAGGGGACCCTTTGGAAGTCCCAAGGTACTGGTTCCTCAGGAATTTCATGGACAGTTTGAATTTCCAACAGACAATGACCGTCCATCTGGAAAAAACCTACAACTCTGAGTTAAGGTTGGAGACTTTCTAACCTGCATCATTACTAGGAAAAGGTTAGAGAGATTAAAATTAACTGGACCTGACCTAATCTCAATAAAGCCATGATTTTGTTCCCCCACAATCTGGAGATGATTTTCAGCCCAGACCAATGTGGAAGAAATTGAGAGTAGCTGGTGACTGTGACATACTGCTGTGTTGTTGCTGCTATATTATTGGTTGTTTCCACTGAAATAATATTACGAAATGATGGGTTGTTTCTGCAGAAGCATGAGGGCCAGTTCACAGTTATTCAGCTTATTGGGATGCTGTGTGGAATAGCGTCTGGAATGAAGTACCTCTCTGAGATGGGTTACGTACACAAAATCCTGGCAGCCCACAAAATCCTGGTCAACAACAATCTGGTGTGTAAAGTGGCAGGTTTCCGACAAGCACATGAAGAGAAGGTGGACTCAGTGTTCACAACTATGGTGAGTGGAACAGACCTCAAACAGCTGTCCTGCAAGACGTCTTGAAGTCTTATTGTGATGCTCACATCAAAAATGGTGTCAGGCACCTCCGTACTGGGCCCCATCTGAAATATGCAGCAAGTCATCATCTTGATTGTTACAGGGAGGTAATAGGAATAACTTCCATATAAGCATAGCAACATTTCATGCAACTTATGTAAAGAGGAAAGTTCCATTTGATAGTCTTGTTTGCTGTTCCAATCCTGTGTCATCTTGTTAGTTGCATCCAAATATTGTACTCAAAGTTTGAAAAAAATGGGCCACTTAACCATCAGGCCTCCTTTGTTCACTTGCCCTGATACCATCTTGTTCATTCCTTGCCTTCCACATGTCTGCTTTAGGCCAGTTTGCCACTGTCCCTCTTACTTTCCCTCATTTTTTTGGATTCTACTTTTCACACTCTCTTTCTTTCTCTTTCTCCCTCTTTCTCCCCTTTGATTGGCACCCCATGCATCCTTTTAGAAATTTTCTCCCTCCACCACCGATGGCACAGTGACAGCAGTGTGTACCATTTTTAAGATGCACTGCAACGATCTGCGAACACTCCTTAGACAGGACCCTTCTAACCAACGGCTTCTATCACCCTGAGGGCCAGGACAGCTACTGCTCAGGCATACTGCCATATGCAAGATCCCCTCCAAGCCACACACCATCATGACTTGGGGCACTGTATACAATTCCTATTATTGGAACAGGTACATTGAAGATGTACAGTGAAACGCCACCAAATTGATAGGACCATTGGAGGAGTCATCAGGCTTCCTGACACTTGAGTCTCTTCTAGCATTCATTTGTGCACTCACCTTTATTTAGTCACTTTTAATTGATCTATCCCCAATATTCATACCTAATAAAAATATTGTGTTCGTCAGTGTTTGCTCAAGCTGTAGATTACAGCTTGGTTCATCTGAAACTGCAGTTTCAGGTATTTCATTTGACCTCTAGGCACTACAGCAAGATTTGCCAAATTGAGGTGGGGGCTCTCAGAGAGGTCCCAAGCTGAAATCTGGGGTTGTGAACTCTGAGGCAGCAGTGCGTGGCATAGAACTCTCTCGTGGAGATAGAACAGCTGTGATCTTACTCTCAGATTGGGGTCATGACAATTTTCAAGCCACGGTGGCTCAGTGGTTAGCAGTGCTGCCTCACAGTGCCCGGAACCCGGGTTCAATTCCATCCTCAGGCAGCTGTCTATGTGGAGTTTGCACGTTCTCCCCATGTCTGCATGGGTTTCCTCCAGGTGCTCCGGTTTCCTCCCACAGTCCAAAGATGTGCAAGCTAAGTGGATTGGCCATGCTAAACTACTCATAGTGTTCAGGGATGTATAGATTAGGTGGGTTATAGGGGGATGGGTCTGGGTGGGATGCTCCGAGGGTCGGTGTGGACTTGTTGGGCCGAAGGGCCTGTTTCCACACTGTAGGGATTCTATGATCTATGAAAATGAGCTTGAAGTGGGAAGAGATTTGAGGAGCACTGATCCACTAAGTTTTGGGTGAGAATTGCAGATTTCCACAGCTGTGTGTGCAGGAAAAATTGCTTCCTGATTTCAGTCCTGATGGCCTAGCTCTAATTTTAAGATTGAGCTCTCTTGCTCTGGCTTGTTCCAGTGATGAAGATAGTTTCACTGGACACATTTGGATTTTTTTTAGGCTTTTTCTTTTGATGCCCCAACCATATGGTCTTCCAGCTAAATATGTGACCATTTACCACTCACATAAATCAAATCTCGTTATCATTTTAGATATCTCTTTTACAGAGGGACCATAGAAAGCATTCTATCTCGGTGCATCATGGCTTGGTATGGCAACTGCTCTGCCCAAGACCGTACGATACTACAGAGAGTTGTGAACACAGCTCAAACCATCACACAATGCAACCTCCCATCCGTTGACTCCACCTACATTTCTCTTTGCCACGGAAAGGCAATCAACATCATCAAAGATCCCTCTCACCCAGGTTATAGTCTCTTCCAACCTCTTCCGTCAGACAGAAGATACAAAAGCTTAAACACATGAAAAACAGGTTCAAGAACAGCTTCTTCCCGCTGTTATTAGACTGCTAAATGGACCTGTCAAATTTCAAATCTAATGTTGATCTTGCTCCCTACCTTCTCTGCAACTGTAACTTTGAATTCCTCACTCTGTTCTATCACCCTACGATCTTTGTATGTTATGATCTGCCTGTACTGCACGCAAAACAAAACTTTTCACTACTTATGTACTTGTGACAATAATAAATCAAATCAAATTAGACTAACTATCAACCTTCTATAACCAAGGCAACATAAGTCTTCGAGAAAAACACTTTTTTAAAATCTGCTTTCTCTGTTTCGGTTTTCAGATTACCCCACCAAAAAGTGCACTTGCCACAGCTGGATTAAGTCTTTACATAATATTTAATGGGTCATTACCCACTTAAGCAATATTAAAGGACCATTTGGCTGATGATTGGCTGCTAATTTTTCATTGCAGCTAACAAATGGCCATTCTTACAAATCATTTCCTTTAAAGGCACGTGATCCAGCAATTCATTAATTACTGAATGAAAGAAGCCCCTCCTTTCCTTCTGCAAATTACACAATCACTGGGAACTTTCAGCCTGAGGAAATCAGCCAGCTGTAGACCCTAGACCATAAGACATTGGAGCAGAAATTAGGCCATTCGGCCCATTGGGTCTGCTCCATCATTCAATCATGGCTGATAAGTTTCTCAACTGCTTTCTCCCCATAACCTTTGATACCCTTGACAGTCAAGAACCTAGCTATCTCTGTCTTAAATATACTCAATGACCAGGCCTCCACAGCCTTCTGTGGCAGTGAATTCCACAGATTCACCACTGTCTGGCTGAAGACGTTTCTCCTTATCTCTGTTCTAAAGGGTCTTCCCTTCACTCTAAGTCTGTGCCCTTGGGCCCTAGTCTCTCCTTTTAATGGAAAATTATTCCAAACATCCACTCTGTCCATGCCGTTCAGTATTCTGTAAGTTTGAATTAGATCCCCTCTCATCTTTCTAAATTCCATCGAGTATAGACTCAGAGTCATCAAACATTCCTCATGTTAAGCCTTTCATTCCTGGGATCATTCTCGTGAACTTTCCCTGGACCTGCTCCAGGGCTAGTATATCCTTTCTGAGGTATGGAACCCAAAATTGCTCACAATATTCAAAATGTGGTCTGACCAGAGCCTTATAAAGCCTCAGAAGTTCATCCCTGCTTTTATATTCTGGTCTTCTCGAAATAAATGCCAAAGTTGCATTTGACTTCCTAACTACTGACTCAACCTGCAAGTTTACCTTAAGAGAATCCTGGACTAGGACTCTAAAGTCCCTTTGCACTTCAGATTTCTGAAATTCCTCCCCATTTAGAAAATAGTCTATGGGTCTATTCTTCTTACCAAAGTGCACAACCTCACACTTTCCCACCTTGTATTCCATCTGCCACTGTGAGCATTTCCAACAGCTGACGATTCCAGCTTTAGATTCTTCCTGTGACATCTAGGTGAGAAATCCTTTACTTAACAAGTTCCTGAAAAGCAAGTCACTGCTTGTAAGTAAAGCCGATTTCTTCAGAGCAGCTGAAAGCGAAAGCTCAGTCTTACATCCAGAATTTCTAAACCAGGAACAACTAGTGTTTGGCCCATATCTCTCTAAACCCTTCCTATTCGCACACCCATCTAGATGCCTTATAAATGTCGTAATTTTACGAGACTCCACCACTTCCTCTGGTAACTCATTCCATACAGACACTACACTCTGTGTGAAAAAATTGCCTGTTGGATCCCTTTTAAATCTTACCCCTCTCACCCTAAACCTATGTCCTCTATTTTTAGATTACCAACCCCCTGGGGAAAAGATTTTATCTATTCACTCAATCCATGCCCCTCAAGGCTTTAGAAGCCTCTATAAGGACACCCCTCAGCCTCCGACGCTCCAGGGAAAATAGCCCCAGCCTATTCAGCCTTTCCGTATAGCTCAAACCCTTCAACCCTGGCAACATCCTTGTGAACCTTTTCTGAACCCTTTCAAGTTTCACAACATCTTTCCTATAGCAGGAAGACCGGAATTACATGCAGTATCCCAAAAGTAGCCTAACCAATGTCTTGTACAGCCGCAACATGAACTCCCAACTCCTATTTCCATTTTCTGATGAAGGGTCTAGGCCCGAAACATCTGGGCTCCTATGATGCTGCTTAGCCTGCTGTGTTCATCCAGCTCTCCACCTTGTTATCTCCTATTTCTGGGAGCTTGCTGTTCAAATAAATTGATGTTACATTTTCTGTATCATTGCAATGGCTACATTTCAGAAAGTCCTTCAATAGATTTAAATCACATTGGGACTATCCTGAGATCACAGAAGGCACTATATAAATGCAAGTGTTTTTTCTTCTGTTTCAAAGTTTTACATTCCCTGCGTTGCCATCTTCTCATCACTCCCTCTTTTTCAGGAGTAAAGAAAAAGGAGTAGGCCTCAGGCCAGTTCCATCATTCAGTTACACCTTGACTGATCTGCATATTAATGTCATCTGCCTGTCTTATTTCCATAAACCTTAATATTCTGGCCGAACAAAAATCAATAAATCTCAATTTTAAAATTTTCAGGTGACTTAGCTGTTTGGTGGAAAGTATTATAAATTGACACAACCACTCCTTTTGTGAAGAAGTGCTTCCTGATGTCACCCTGAACTCCCTCAACTCTAACATGAAGTCTATGCCCTCTTTTTCTTGCCACCACCCTATAACAATTAATTCTATTGACCTTACCAAACCCATTCATCTTAATTAGCTCACCCCTCAATCTCTGCCATTATGTCAATGCATTTATCCTCTCTATTAAACCTTATTAGTTCCAGTATCATGCTGCTGAATCAGTGCAGTGCCCCCGAAAGCCCGTAAGTTCTTCCTGAGGAATGATTCACAGAGCTTATGCAGTACCTAGTACCAAGTATGTCAAAAATAAACTAAGAGATGTTCAAACTTGACACCAGCTCCAAATCACAAATGGGGTAAATATCCTTCCTCTGCCGTAGTGGCATATTCGATTTTCCTTGTATCTAAACAGAGATGAAATCTCAAAGGATGTGTTTTGCTGCAGATTCTGCTGTATGTTTTATTGTGATAGATTTCAGCAATGTCAAAGCTGAGTCTTGTCTGCCAATTCTTTCTGAAACAGGGTGGGAAAGCCTCTGTCCTATGGGCAGCTCCAGAAACCATCCAGTACCACAGATACAGCACAGCCAGTGACGTCTGGAGTTTTGGGATCGTCATGTGGGAGGTGATGTCCTATGGAGAGCGACCTTACTGGGACATGTCTAACCAAGATGTAAGTCACGTAGTTAGATCCTGATTGCCACTGTTATTGGCACTCGATTTCGAACAAAATGCCGAAGAGTGAATTTTTAACTTCACCAGTAGGACAGTTTGACGTAATCTATTGTTAGTCTTAGATCTGCACATTATATTTGACTGCTTGCAATGTAGTTAGATTTTCTGATACAATCATCTTCCAGCTGAATGTGTGGTTAGCAATTGGATGCTATTGTTACAGAATATTCAGATGTCCAATTTTATCTTGTAGAATTCTGCACAGAGGGACCACTTGATATTTTAGTAGCAGAAGAATTGCGAAAATGTTTGTAGCTTGGCACAGATTCAACTCCCTCTATTGCTGATTGTAAATCTTCACAACCTTTGGGGGCTCTGTCTTAAAGTGTCTGCCGTTTCAGGTAATTAAAGCAGTTGAAGAAGGTTTTCGTCTCTCTGCTCCCATGAACTGCCCGTCTGGGCTCCACCAGCTCATGCTGGAGTGTTGGCAGAAGGATCGTAACGATAGGCCCAAATTTGCACAGATTCTGAGCATCCTTAACAAGATGGGACGGAATCCCGACAGCCTGAAAACCATCCCCAATGGCTGCGTCAGGTAAAATCCCAACCTGAGCCTTGCCCTTGGCCTAAGTTTGTATCTAACTGATGGAATTGGATCTTGGAATGGTCATATGATAGTTTACAGTGTTTTATTTATGAACTGTTTCACTGGAGATGATGGAACCACTGCATGCAGATTTCTCCGTTAAAGTCCCCTTGTGATTTCCTAATCATTTACCATCTGCTCTGTTTTGATAGCATCTAACCTGATATTTATGGATGTAACATCTGTTTCAGTAGTAATGTGTTAACTATATGTTAAATGTAAATGACTTTAGAATCAATGCACTATTCCCTCACTCAACTTCATTCTTGTGTGAAACATATAAATTTGAGAGTTTTTTTTATGCCCATCTGCGTTCCTTAATCCTTGAAATCCTTCTACTGGCCTTAGTAGCTGAGTTGCAATGCTCCTTTATTTAACAGTTCCTGTCGAATGGATATGGATGGTGTTTGGAGAATTTCCCAACAGTACCTTATAAATGCAAGTTCAAAAAGCATCAAATGTCTCAACACTTAACAGAAATCATTAGACCTACCACAGCTCCGTTCCTATAAATCACAAACCCATCTGGTCTCAGAAAGGGACAGTGCAGAACAGTTTGTTCCTCTGAAGAATGCTTTTAAATCACATTAATGAAGAAGTTCAAGGGATTTTTAGCTTGACTTGAGTCCATGCTCTGCCTGATCTGCGAGTGCTTCCTTGGATATCTCAGAGGGGATATTGGGAGGGGAGGTGTGATGGCCTAGTGGTATTTTTACTGAACTGATAATCTAGAGACCTAGATAATGTTCTGAGGACCTGGGTTCGAATCCTGCCACGGCAAATGGTAGAATTTGAATTCTAATTTAAGAATCTAATGATGACCATGAATCCATTGTGGATTGTCAGGAAAACCCCATCTGGTTCGCTAATGCCCTTCGGGAAAGGAAACTGCCATCCTTACCCGGTCTGGCCTACATGTGACTCCTGAAGACAGAGCAAAGTTCTGAAAGCTTGTGTTTTCAAATGAACCTGTTGGACTATAACCTGGTGTCGTGTGATTTCTGACCTTGCTGAATCGTGTCCTCTCTAAAACAAAAATTGGAATCAAGAATTTAATGATGACCATGGATCCATTATCAATTGTTGCAAAAACCCATCTGGTTCACTAATGTCCTTTAGGGAAGAGAACTGCCATCCTTACCTAGTCTGGCCTACATGTGACTCCTGACCCACAGCAATGTGGTTGACACTTAACTGCTGTCTGGGCAATTAGGAATGGGCAACAAATGCTGCTCAGACAGCGACACCCTCATCCAATCAATAAATAAAAAAAATCCAGCACCTCCACTGTCCTGCACCTAGCCCTGATATGACAGTCTTTTATATGATTGCCATTAGTGAAAGAATATTTTCATGTCAGACAGCTCACCTATTGTGAACAGGCAGGTCAAATGTGAGCAAAAGTGGAAACAACTTCAATTCTATAATGTGTTCAGGCTTGTGGATTTCCTGCACCGTAGCTCAGGTCCAATGAGGTTGGTCAGTGTGCATAGCAAACACTAAGTTTCACTCCCAATCCCTGAAGATGCAGAGAGACTACCCCTGACTCTCAACAGAGTATCTCCCTTCCCGTCCTTCACCCCCGAGTGGGTTTCTCTTGCTGTCTCCTTCCTGTCTCTCCCCATCATTCCTTGCCTTTGTCTTGAGTGATGAAGGAGAAACTCGAATGGTGTGCGTTTTGTTTTTACAGTTGAGTAGAATTTTGTTGTTGATGGGACACACTTAGGGTGCAAATTGTAGTCGGGGTGGGGGTGGGGGGGCGGAATGTTAGAAAAATTATTTATTTTCTGCTTCCATTAGATTGGAACACTTAACCGAATGAGGAAAGGAAATTGACTTCACAGCTCAAGAGATAAGCCATACATGACAAATGCAAACAATAATGTTGTGATGATATAAAGTAGGGCTATTCGTTGTGTATGTTACCTTGGTGACATGGCAGATGTTATTGACTGTAATAATCCCATTTCACTGGTGATGTGGTCACAGAGGAGCTTATGGTTGTGACACATAATTATTAAAACAAAATCAGAACCAGAGCCCACTTTACCATTTAATAGGATCGTGCTGATCTCATGTGACTATAACTTCACTTTTCTACCTTCCTCATAACCCCGACTCCTTTATAAGTTGAAAGTCTGTCTAAATCATCCTTCAATGTACATTCATTGACTCAGCCTCCACCACTGTCTGTGAATGAGAATTCCAAAGACTCTCTGAGAGCATTGATCCTTCTTCATCTTTCTGTTCAGGACATTAGTGAGGCCACTTTTGGACTCCTGTGTTCAATTCTGGTCTCCCTGCTACAGGAAAAATGTTGTTAAACTTGAAAGGGTGCAAAAATGATTAACAAAAATGTTGTAAGGATTGGAAGGTTTGAGCTGTAGGGAGAGGCTGAATAAGCTGGGAGTGTCAGAGGCTGCGGGATGACCTTATAGAGGTTTATAAAATCATGAGGGGCATGGATACGGTGAATAGTCAAGGGTAGGGGAGTCCAAAACTAGAGGGCATAGGTTTAAGGAGAGAGGGGAAAATATAAAAGGGACCTAAGGGGCAACATTTTCACGCAGATGTTGTCATGGCTGAAATAGGGTCTGTTTCCGTGCTGTACACCTCTTTGTCTTAACCTGTTGATATTTCTTTGCAGACCGTTTGTATCCTCTTTACAAATTACTTTTTACCATTTTATCCCCTGAAAGTCAACAACGGTATAGTTAGTTACAAATAGTTGAGACTTCAGGCCTGATCCTTGTGGCACTCTATGAGATACAGGTTGCCAACCTGAATATGACCCATTATCTTATCTCTGTCTCCTGATAGTTAACCAGTTCTCTATCCATGCCGACATGTCAGTCCTAATGCAATGAATTTTAACCTCCCATTCCTTTTTTCTTCATGTTTGGTTAGCTCCCTTTCAAAGGCATCTCTGCTCTTCACCTCAACTGCTTCATGTGGAAATAAGTTCCACATTCTATCCACTTTGTGTTGTTTATATTCTTTCAAGGTAGTGTGGGAGTTGCTGGCTGGGTCAGAATTTCTTGCCCATCCCTATCTGCCTTGGAGAAGGTACTGTTGAGACGCGTCCTTAAACTGCTGCAGTCCTTGGGGAGTAGGACACCCACAATGACAGCAACAGTGAAGAAATAGTGATCTAGAAGTTTCTTCTGAATTCCTTTTCCAGTTTATGAACAAATATTTATGGCCTCTTGTCATTTGGAGACCAAAACTAAAGAAATGAAAGACATTATTATTAAGCACTGTTACCATCCGTGCTTTCTAAATATTCCATTTATTTAATGGATATTTGTCAATGGTAACAGAACATGAAAGCACAGAGCAAATCATGTGGCATGATATTAAAATACTGTTGTGCCAATTAACATCACATTATCAGGAACTTTGCTGCTATTCAGGAGTCAGATTGGGTGTGTGGAGCAGGTAGAATGCAGCATGGTAAAGCACAATGGACAGGGTCTTGCTGACCTTATGTTAATGGTTATTTTGTTTACCTGTAAAGATTAGGGTGGCCTAGTGGTTAACACCACTGCCTCACAGTGCCAGGGACTGAATTCGATTCCAGCCTTGGACAACTGTCTGTGTGGAGTTTGCACATTCTCTCCACGTCTGCGTGGGTTTCCTCCAGGTGGACTGGTTTCCTCCCACAGTCCAAAGATGTGCAGGTCAAGTGGATCGGCCAGGCTAAATTGCCCATAGTGTTCAGGGATGTGCAGGCTAGGTGGATTAGCCATCGTTAAAAATCTCATGTAGAGCTACAGGGAGGGTCTGCGTGGAATACTCTTTGGAGAGTCAGTGCAGATTGGATGGGCCAAATCGCCGCCTCCTGCACTGTAGGGATGTTATAATCTTGTTTAAAATTTGAAATCATCAGGCGCGCACCAATCCACAACAGATCATCCTTCCAATGTAAACAGATATGTTGCTAACATGCTGGAGAAAGAGCTGAACAGAGTTATTAGTTAAATTAATCTATTTTCCTACATATTAGAATTTTTCAGATGGCTGTACCACCATGGCATCATTGACTTGGCTGTTCTGATTGATATGGCAAAATATTTAAAGAACCATTTACAATAGTGGACCTAAAATGAATAGTGGAATTTTGCAGGGGCTGTTTTTTGATACACTGCTGTGATTTGAAATTTTGCAAGTTTTCACAACTACGTGAAGAAGTGTTTTCTCAAAGTGGCCTGTGAAATAAGAATTTGAATAATCCTTATTTTAATTTGAGTATTTTTACAAATGGCCAGCAACAAGTTTTAGTTTTACATAATGTAAAGTTATATACACATAATATAAAAGTTTGTTTATTGCAAAACACTGATGCAAGTTAATGAGTAAAATACAATGAAGTTACTTATATGTACAAGGATTATATGCACATTTGGATAAAATATACTTTTATGCAGGTAGAATTCAGTTCAGTTCTTTAAGATACTGGTGCAGTTGAAGTGTTGGTTGTCTAGAGAGAATGATTGATGTTTACGAGCTATGTTCAGCAGCTGTGATGACTTTTGTAGCTGAATAGTCAAAAGTCTGCTTCTTTGGCTGGATAAATTAGGTAGATGTCTTAGGGAACGCGTGAAGATCCCTTTTCCTTGCTTGTTCTGATGTAATTATACTTGAAAATTGCTAGGGCTCCCTTTCAGCAGAACAGGCAAGATTTCTGAGCATTTTCCACTGTAACTCCAGAGGCAAACAGAAAGCCAAATTCTTAAACAATGCTCAAACCGAGCATATTCAAACAGTATATATTCCACTGAGGCTTCTGCGCAAAATGACTGCTCCTACACATACTTTAGACAGTTCAAAACTCGACATTGCCATACCAAACTGTCAAATGATGTTTTCATATTATTGAATTCTGCACCATGTCTGAAACATTGTCAATTTCATTGTCTTTTTCAAGGAGGTAATTAACTTCTTTAAAT